TCCATAGCCTCGGCCTCAGCCCCGGCCGCGAGAGCTTCGCCTCCTCCGCTCGAACCTCGGCCTCCTCCTCCTCCTCCTCCGTCCTTCTCATGATCCAGGAGTGGGTCCTGTCCTGCCTCTCTAAGAGCAATTGGAGGCAGGAGGATGACGAGGATGGAGATCTGCAGCCGGCGGAGGAGCTAAAGGAGATGGTAAATTTCCTCTGCAAATTTATTTCTGATGTTGTGCCTTCATTATGCAAATTGTTATGAATTGTTGGATTGTGATGGAGTGTTAACTGGGGTGGTAGTATTTTCAATTGACTGGGCAAAGGTAAGTTCAAATCGACTAATTTTTTCATTAATAATAAGAACATATATAGTTACAGATTATATCATGTGACTGTACATAATTGATAGAACTTGAAGACATAAATGACCATAATCTTCTCTTTCACCATATAAAGTTGTGTCCCAAGTGCAATACTGTTTCTGCTGAATTTTTATTGCAGGTGCTATGGTAAGAGTTATCCTATTCTCTAATTAAGAATCTCTGTACCTTCTCTAATAACCCTCAAGTCCTCAACATTTTTTATCTTAAGTGCATTGTTCCTCTTGAGTTTCTTCTGATAATTTTGGTGCAAATTTGTTGACCTGTCCCTCATAATTCTTTATGATAGATATAAATCTTAGTTGGTTTAGATCAAGTACGATCTTAGAAAAATAAAATAATAACGGATCCAGGCTTTTTTGGTTTAAACTTCAATCTTCCGAAGGAATAACTAAATTAAGGCTTTTGTATTATAAAATCTAATCCTGTTAATGTACTCACTCGTAAGATTTATGTAGTACCTGAGCATACTCCTGAACTAAGCACCTATTCAACTCATATTAAATAAATTTATTATTATTGTAAATGAGGCTCTTCTAGGTCTGCTGCATCATTAAAGTTATCCAGGATAAAATGAATGATTATTTGGCTTTGCATTAATAAAAACACCCCCTCTCAAATTTTAAGATGGCAAACACGGAACATAGCTTCGAGTGCATAGCTTCGAGTGCGCTATGCTAGCAGCAAGCAGTTTTGATGCCTTTTTTATGCCCTTCATTTTGGAATAAAGTGAAAAGAGACAAAAAAAGCGAAAGTTCTGAATGGTGATCGGGAGTGATATGAATTATTTCCTTAATAATATTAGTTGTCAGGTACCAAAACACTGATTGTTTATATAGTTTTTACACATGTGATGTCTACAATAAAACACTAACCACAGAATACTTGTAAATAGACTCAGTCTACAGG